TCTTTTTCTAATTGTACTGTCATAAACTTAAACATTTAACATGCTAACTGAGACCTGTACAGGCTGAGATGTAACTCTTGGTTTTTTTCAGTTTCTCTGAGCACTGCACGCTGAGATGTAACTCTTGGGGTTTTTTTCAGTTTCTCTGAGCACTGCACAATCTGACTTCGGAGTGAATTTCCTTGGACATCTGCTCCTGGAAAGATTGACAGCTGTCTTAAACGTTTTTCATTTGTGAATAATAGTGTGATGGACTTTACATGGTTTGGAAATGGCCTTATGACCCTTCTCAGATTGATAGGCATCAACAACTGCTTCTCTAGGATCATTGCTGATACGTTTTCTCCTTGACATTGTGTTAACACACAATGCATCAACAATTGCTTCTCTAGGATCATTGCTGATACATTTTCTCCTTGACATTGTGTTAACACACATCTGAATGCTCCAGAGCAGCAAACTGCTAAAACTTTGGCTTCTATAGAGATGGTCACACTTGCTGATGATCAGTTACTCAAGAGCATTTGGTTAGCAGCACCTGGCTGCTACTTAGCCTCTTAATTCTTATAGAAGCAAATAAGGGTGTACTTAGTTTTTCACACATGGCTTCTCCATCTTGACTTTATTTTTGTAAAATAAATTACGGCATGGTGTGTGTGATATGTCATGTGTTGCTGTTCATCTGGAGTGGTATTTACCTAATTTTCAGACTTGCTAAGGGCCAGATTATTGTTAGTATGTCCTGATACGTAAAACCATAGAATTCTTTAGTATTTCCAGATGTGTAAAACCATAGAATTCAAAGAGGGAGTACTTCTTTTTCACATGACCATATTTCCAGGGGATAAGTTTTATCTTTGTCTTCTTAATATGTTATTTAATGTATGAAGGTACATTCACTAATGTGAGCTTCCACCTGCAGTTTTATATACCGTATTTCCAGGGGATAAGTCTTATCTTTGTCTTCTTAATATGCTATTTAATGTATGAAGGTACATTCATTAATGTGAGCTTCCACCTGCAGTTTTATATCTAAGTGCAGCCTAGATACAGGTTTGCATTTTCACTGAGGACCAGATCTTGGAAATATTGCCATAATATTTTTTACCTTATAAAACTCAGACAAGCTGCACTGAATGTAGCATTTATTTCTTCGTCATGGTGTTTGTGAATCACACATATGGGTTCTGTGCCTGTGCAGAAAGCAGCCTCGGAACTTTCTAGAGCCTAAGGAGAAGTGCTTTCCCCCTCCCTCATGACCACTCACACCCTAATGGCTCTCACCCACTTCTTGTTTTTGTAGAAAGCAGCCTTGGAACTTTCTAGAGCCTAAGGAGAAGCGCTTTCCCCCTCCCTCATGGCCACTCATACCCTAATGGCTCTCACCCACTTCTTGTTTGTCTGCTGCAGAAGCAGCATCCTGAGCGAATGCTGGAGCCTTGCTTATTTAGAATTCTTTGATCCTTTGAACTGTAAATAGTTCTTTATCTCTTCTACCTCCTCATTTCCCCCACCCTTTAAAAAATAGTGCTATCATCTTCTTTGCATTACCAAATTTCTTCCGTTTCCTGCCTCCATCTGATGGCCTCTGGAGCTCTTTTCAAGAAGTGTGTTGCTTTTGGGGGCAAAATGGCTCATTCTGACGAACACAATCAATGTCTGTTTTGTGTGGGTGAGAGACACATTACACAAAAGTTTAACATTTCTACCTGCATCACTCTGAAAAATCGCCTCACAGGGCTGTGATCTTATCTCTGAGAAAAGTCCTTGAAATCCACCAACTCAGACTGTCAGCGAGCCCATAAGTGCAACAGAAAACAAATCACTTCATACCTTGGATGTGTGATGTGTTCTGGCCTTCTCTCTCCCATGCTCAACTTTTCCTCTGCTATCAAAGCCCCAAAACGGGAGATCTGGTTCAATCCCAAAGATTGGCAAAATGAATTGTAGAAACCATCAAGTTAACTTATAAGGTAGCCCATTGGCCAATAGTTCAGGGCACCCAGTGAAGTACTCAGCCACTCAGTGCTGCCCAAAGAAGACTAACTTGGCCTGACATCTGCAGGGTTGTGACCGGGTCTCATCCTTACCGATGTCAAACATTAAACGGGATGCTTATTTGGGATGCTGCTTTTGGATGAGCAGTGCTCTCAAAAGTTATGACATCTCCCCTCCGGTAAATGAATTTGCTTGGCACTCCTATGTGTGATTCACAGACCCACGATGAAGAAAGACAGGTTGCTTAGTTGTAATTGTAGTTCTTCAAGTGGTCATCCATAAATTCACCCATTGTCATGCTCAGCTTCTGTCTGGGTGAGAGTTATCAGGGTGTGCCTGGTCATGCACAGTGGTGCTGCGGGAGGGGAAAAACACTTTACCTTAGGCTCTAGAAAGTCCTGAAGCTGCTTTTTGTGCAAACATAGAACCCATACTAGATGACCATGACGAAAAACTACAGTTACAGGTAAGGAACCTGTCCTTTCTATAGCTAGTCTAGTCTAGCCTGCTTTCATATCATCTTCTAAGCTTGAGAACATGCCCCTTGGGATAGCTGATATATGAGCCAAGTGGATTTCACACATGTTGTCAAGAGCTTAGGGAAGATCCATGGCCCATCCCTTGAAATATGATATAAGGGGAGGCTCAGTAGCATTTCTTGAGCTGCAGTCTGCTTGCATAGCCAGGACAGTGTTTATGTATCATATAGATAATTAGCCCACTTTGACTATTGACCTTGAAAGGTTGCATATCAAAGGAGGCTAATAACCCACCTAACTTGCCTTGTTTGTCTTTCCTGTCCTTAGCAAGTGGTGTCACTAATTGAGACGCTGATTAGCTCATGTACTAGTAAATGCCATTTAAATTTATGAATAATACTCATCTAGAATCATCCTGTTTGGATGCTGCAGAGCAGACTACAGTGCAAAAAAAGCATGGAAGACATTCAAATCCAGTGCACAAAATGTTAATCCCTTACTCACTTATATGTTTATCAATCTGGGTAATCTTCCTGGGATTGCTGAGTCCTGGAGTGCTTTTGAGAAAATATTTAAGTGTTGGCCTCTCTGATCTACAGTAGAAGACAGTGCCATCATCATTATGGGGACAGCCACTGAAAGCCTCTCTCTGTACATGGACTTGTGCAGAGGAATGTCACTCACTCACCGATGGATTCATTCTTTACCTCCTGGGTCTTTTTTTGGTACAGTCAGCTTTGGAGGCCTGTGGCTAATTATATTCATTAGTATGAAAACAAGAGTTTTCCTCTTCATGGTTTTTTGCTGCTTATTAGAAGATAGCTAGGATTTTATACATGAAAAGCTATCAATTGGCCCAAGTTTGGCATTTCTGATAAAACAGTCACAATAGTCATTGATTGGTCAAACTAAGAGCTATAGAAAGAGAACTTAAAGAGATATTTGGGCATATTTTAAAAATCACATGAAGTCTAGAGCAGGAAATATTCTCTCAGGGGAATTATGTGCTATGTGCAAATTGCAGTTAAGTGGCAGCTAAATTTTAGTTAATCTGTCAGCTGCTTTGAGTCCCAATTTTTGAAGAAAGATGGGGTGTAATTCTAATGAGCTGCTGTTTCTAGGTCAGGCAGTTTGGGGAAACAGATGATTTATAGTTCTGAAGTGGGTGAGACGAATGCTGAAATATTTCCCTTCATGCTGTTCTTCAGCAGCAGCTCCTTATCTTGTCCCCTGATAAGCTCCAGGACAGGTGAACTGTGAGGGAAACCTGTGTCCAACCTCCAGCTCCCCCCCCCACTATAAATTATCCCCTACCAAAGCTGTTTTGCTTAAAAGAAAGGTTGGGAATGTCAAACCTTGGAAGTAAATCTGGTTTGTTTGGATTTCCTCAGATAATCAGGTTCCCTGAAGCATAATACTATCTATTGGGTAGTTTTTCTAGCTTTTAAAATGGCTTTTTACTTACCTGAAAGCTTGAAATGCCTTGCTTAAAGCTTAGTTAGAACATAAGAAGAGCCCTGCTGGATCAGGCCAAGGGCCCATCTAGTCCAGCTTCCTGTATCTCACTGGGGCCCCACCAGATGCTTCTGGGAGCACACAAGACAACTACAGTAGATACTTGTCTCCTGATACCCCTCCCCTGCATCTGGCAAGAAGACCTTTTAAGCTAAAATAGTCCTGCATTTTTGGCCCCATCTGCCACTGAAATGCAGTCCCCCTCCCATAGCCTCTCTGTAACTGAATTTGGCCTTTTGGCCACAATATATTCAGCCTTGAGGAGAGCACATCTGCTTGCTCCTTTTTCAAATCTCAGTATCATATAAAACAGGATACTTCATTTGCTTATCAGAGGCTACAGATGAAATTCAGCTCTACCCTACAACATCAAGTACTTAGTGAGGCAAAAAATGTCTTCGCCAACTGCCAAATTCAAGTAGAGAAAGGGTAGCTTGACCTTTCAGTATGCCAACCATTTTTAATACATCTACAGGCAGATATAATTTAGATTATAATAATAATCTAAATGAAATAGCTAGAAGGAACCCTGTGGATCATTGAGTCCAGTCCCTATCAGGGAGGCACAATGGGGAATTGAACTCCTAGTCTCTGGCTTCTTAGCTAGAGACCTAAGCTATCCAATAGTTAGAAACAAACTTTAGAGATCACTAGGGAAAGGAAAATCCCTAAGTAAGGCAAGAATCTGATAATCATAGGAAGAGGACCACCCACCTTTCTCCAAAATCTGCCAGTTAGCTAGCCTTGCTTGCCAATTGGTCTTCAGGACTTGAGCAGGAGATGTGGGACTTTTGAAGTTGCATTTCACAAACCTGACAAAGCAGAATTTATATATGCACATGTCACATGTATTGTGTATATTTTCTTGTCTTCTCCCATTGCATTCTTAAAATATATAGTCAGCTGATGCTTAGCTGTATCCTGAGTGAGGAATGTGTCAGTTGTATGGCAGGTACTTTTGCTTTTTTACTGCCTGGACGTTTTCATGCCAGTGTCTGTGGTCTGCAGTTATTTCAGAAGCATATTGAAAGCCAGGATGACAGCAGCAGCAGCAGCATGGATGCCTCTTCCGCTGCCTTCAGCAACATTAAAGAGCTTGCACGGCGCTTTTCTTTGACATTCGGCTGGGACCAAGTGAAAAGTCGAGAGTCGGTAGCTATGATCCACAAGTAGGTTCCAGAATCTGTGCTGTCCTTTAGCCTTCTGCTGTCAGATGCCCACATAGTAAACCTTTCTTCTTCTCTCTCTGTTTCTTCCTGTCTCCTGCTAAAAGGGAAGGGATTGAATTTGCCTTTAAAGGAACATCTGGCATGGAAGCGAAGGGCCTGCCTCCCAATCTCAATTTCCTAGTCATCCTCAGTGAATTCTCCAATAAGCTTCTAAAGCCTGACAAAAGACTTGTGTAAGTTTTTACCTGAATGCCCTTTTCTTCTACAAAACAAATGCTGGCATATAATGGAAGTCTCTGAGGCAGGGAAGTTAAATACATAATGCGTACTGAAGGAATATGTCAGTACTAGTGTGGCACCTCCATCATTTGAGCACCTCAAGCCCTTTTGTGTTTATGCTTGGAATAAACAGATGACAAAGCACAAGGTTCTGCCAGAGACTTCCAGAGTTGTCTTGCTTCTGCAGAGGGGAGAAGCTTTGAAGAGCAGTGGCTTGTTTCTGCCCTGGTTTACTTTTGTTACTCTTAGCAGTCACCTAGTAGATTATATCACATAACAACTTTGAAATGCGTACTTCTAGGCTAACCTTTCCTAACTTGGCGCCCTCCCAATGTGCTGTACTTCAACTTTCATATTATTCCCAACCTGCTGAGTTGGGAGAGGCTGACCTTTTTGGTGGCCAAAACATTTGTAAAACAAAACAAAAGCATGCTGTTGTGTTTGCATTTTCGGAAGAGATAGCCATGTTAGTCTGTGCGAGCATGTCATGCAAAAACAAAACAAAATAAAAAAAGAAGACAACAGTGGTGTCACCTTAGATGCTAACTGCTATATCAATGGTGTCACCTTAGATGCTAACTGCTATATTTTAATGTGAGCTTGCAAGGACAAATCCACTTCTGACACACTGTGTTTTCATGTACATAACGTATGCATGTATGTATATGTGCTAGTAATAAAAACATTGTAAGAGGTCGGTCATCCTTAGCTTGAGCTCTGAGATATGAAATGGTTTAGAAATAAATGCTAGTCCCCTTTGAATTCCAGTGTAAGTGTTGTGACAGGGCTGCTTGAAAATTTCTTAACAAAGTCCTTCCTGCTCCAGCTGTGATTGCATTGGTTGTGCTTGTTGATGGGTGGAGATATAGAAAATTTGATCTATAAATTGTCTGTCTGTCTCCTCATTTCTGTATCCAGCTATAGTTACTTGCTGAGATATATACCGGAACCAGCCCTTTGTAAAGGGGACGCCTGGTACGCATTGGGATGGTATAGAACTTCTCTCTTGGCCAGTGAAGACGAGGAGACTTCTTCTACCAGCAGCTTAAATGAATGGCCACCCATAAGTACTGCTGGGATGCCTTCTTTTAAAAGAAAATTATATGAAGGTATAGCATTTCCTGCCATTTAATACATGATGGTGTATAACACTGTATGAATGTTGCGTCGTTGGCATTGATATCAATGTAGGATGATTGACCTCAAGAAATATTGATTTTAGCCTAGTTATCATTAAGGCGATAAGCCTGCGTTAGGACTAAGCCACTTTGGGTGCTCTTCAGTTAATCACACGATTGCTGTTCCATTAACCCCTTCCCCGCCAAGCCCTTCTATAGAAATACTGTAGCCTTTCCCCTGGTATTATCTTTTATATAGGGAATTCATTTATATGAGCTTCTATCTGCACAAGGACACAGTCTGACTGAGGCATAGGGTTATTGATTCAGAACAAGCAGACAAAAATGCAAAAATGCCCATTTATTATTTTCACAGCCCATCTTTCTTCCACCCCCAAAAGTTCAAATACAATGATGTTTTGCTTTTAAGGAAAGGCTTGCAGAACTATTTTTTTGCTCCTTTCATTAACCTGTGCTTCAGCTTGTACTGGTCCCTGGTGTGTCCACGACTAGTATCCATCTGTATTGTTCCACTAACACAGATGATACTGTGCTTGTGGACATTTACTTCTGCATTGGGGGAGGGGGATGAGACAATCCAATGCAATTTTCCAGTTGTACAACCAGTTGCACAAGAAATAGTGTGCCCATTATCTCTTTCAGGAGCCTGGTCCAAAACCAATCATGCTGAGACAACAAATAAAAGTTCAGATAGCTGTGGACCATCTTATCTCCGTTCCTTGGCACAGAGAAGCAGGAAGAGGGTAAAATCTCATAACCCTCATCACCAAGACTGTTCCCTATTCCTTGGTCCTGAAAGTCTGAAGAGAAAAAGCTGGTGAGAAGCTTTGAATCATCTCTATGTCCTTCTCTGTAGTTTCTGGGGTACCCTGAAACTGCAGATGCAAAGTACCTTACAAGCCATGAAGGTAACAATATTATAAAGACTTACAACAGTGGGTCAATTAATTATTGCCTCTCCCCATCTCTCAGATAGAAGATCTAATGTCCCTTGAGTCTCTGGCCTTTAGCTAACAGCAGCAGTAGCCAAAGTGGAACCTTGTCAAAATAGCACAATTTAACATTTGAGGCCATCTTTCTCCATCCCCTTATTCTTTGCATAGTAAAGCCTTTAAAAAAAGAAAAAAATTGACTTTTCCTCACTTCCAGTTTTGAAAGACGAACAGCTGTGGTCTTGGACATTTTGATAGAAGCCACAGTAATTTGCGGGAACTATTTAACAGGAATTTGAAGTTTAGAAATAAAGGATGTAAAAATCTCCAATATCCATTAGCTGCAATTTAGTGAATCGCCCAAACAAGTCTGATGTGTGCCAAATGGCTTTTGGACCTGTGCCTACCACTGCAGCGCGTTCCACCTTCCTTGTGGAAACTGTTTTTGGAATTGACACGTTTCAAAAACAGTTTGATAAAAAGGCATTCCATAGCAGACAAATGTTTCTGCTGAAAATGCGCACATTTTTCATGGATGCGCACAGAAGAAATTTTCAACTGGTGGTGCTTTTAAAGTTTGATGCCCTTTTTGTAGTGATGCATTTAAAGATGCTCTTCTTATTTCAAAAGTTGCATGTTAAATGTTGTTTCAAAGGTCTTATTCCAAAAGTTGCATGAAGATAGTATTTTAAAATATTTTAAATTTAAATATAAATATAAAATAGTTTAACAATTTTTATCTAACAACAACCACAAAAAGAATATTAACTGGAAATGCCAGGGGTGGAACCTGGGACCTTTGTGGCCCTACTTTTGAGGAATGGCCCTTCCCCAACTGCGTTGTCAGCCAAAATGTCTTAATGCTACAAACATCTTTTTTCAAAACTATGGTTTTTAGAAAGGGATTTGGCTTCTTTACATCACTGGGGTTAGCATCTCATCCTTTGCCTTTTTATTTTAGTAACCAACCTGTGGTTAAGGTAGAGAAGACTGCAGAAGTTCCAGCTGAAGATACTGATGTTGATGTTGTTGGTGCAGATCAGGTAAGGATGGCTTTGGCTTTAGGTGGTTGATTAGTTTGAGACTACAGTGTTTGGTGGTGAAGAATTAGGAAACCCACCCCCAACACCAGTAGGTAAGAAATTAGTTTTTAAAAAATTCAAAATGCTGTTTTATCCCTTTTTGATAAGAAAACCTTTGTTTTCCAATAAAAAGATCATTTTCAATTATCAGTTATACTTGCAATTAAATGTTTTACCTATTTTACCATATGTTGCTTTGGAATCTCCCTGGTAGATAGAAAAGTTAAATATCGGTATATATGCTTTCAATAAAACGTGTGTGTCTCTCTCTTTTTAAAAAAAAGGGATGCAGAGTGAATGATACAGACGTAGTAAAGATGCTATGCTTCTAAGCTACACTCGTACAGTAATAGGGGCCATATAAGAATACAAATCCTCCTTTCGTGAGTGGAATGGGATTTTAGATTTAAAAAAAAAGATGCCCTACTTCAATTTGGCTTTTAAGGCTTTGATAGTGGTGGGACAGTTTTCGACCCATAGGATGCATGGCAGGCCACCAGGCGGAGGAATTACATCAGCTGGTGTAATTATTTCCTTGCACTGGAATAAAAATGGAAGAGGCTGGGCAAAGGTGACAAAAAGGTTTAACTTGTAATAGTGACTACGTTCCCTGGAATATGTTTTTTTTTCCAAAACCAGGCAGATAGCTGATGTTCCCGTTCCACAGCTGCTTAAACCCTGCCACAGCTAAGGGCTGAATTTATACTGCCCTTTTCTAAAATAGCAAGAATGCTTCTGGTGAAATGCACACAGCCTATGTGTCCGATCATTAGCCAGCGATATGCACAGAATATGTTGAATTTGTTTTTTTTTAAAACCAAGATTTGTAAAACAAAGAGAAATAAAAAGACAAAGAATAAGAATGTTCAGTATTACAAATTGCTACACTCTTATCAGACAACAGAAATCTCTATTACTTCATTCCTCTTTTATCGTTTAAAAAATTCTTTATAAACTTTCATTTAGACCAGTTCCACCGAAAATGTACTTTATTTCCACAGCTTTAGGAGCCTGCATGTGATGAGAATTAGAGCAAAGTCTACATCTGAATTTAAGAGTGAGAGTTGAGAGGTAATTAGGAGCTGTGATGAGAACTCCAAAGCTTTAGGGATCCAGAATAATCTGGACCTATTCAGGTTCTTGTTATCTGTGAGCAAATCAGAACACAATTTATCTACTAACATTCCATCCCCCACAACTGCTTACAACAGACGCTTGTAACACACAGCTAACTTGCTCTTACCGTCACTCACCATGGGTACCAGTATATGCAAGATATAAACCATGTGGAGTTTATATCTTGGGACTTGTTAATTAGCTGCAGTTTGTCACTCCATGACTTATTTCCCTTCTGGTGGCATGACTATGCAATTAAGATTTTGGACTTAAAATCTCTCTCTCACACACACACATGCACACACACAGGGTTTTAAATAATTTATGTAAGTTTCTTATTAATAGTTCAGAGGGCAGGCTCCTGTTCACAAGGGTGGAGTGTTAAGAGACCTATGCTTGGGGCACTTAGTGTTTGCTTTATAGTGAGACTGCCCGACTGAAATTAGGATCTTCTGCTGGCTTTAAGGGATTACAGTAGTGGATTTCCCCTTTGCACAAGTGGCATTAGAAGAGGAGGTGCGTGCCAAACAGATTACAGTGGTGCTGCGCGTAGCGACGTTAATCCGTTCCATGAAAAACGTCGCTATCCGGAAACGTCGCTATGCAGGGAGGAAAACCCCATAGGAACGCATTAAACTCCATTTAATGCGTGCCTGTAGGGACAAAACTCACCGCTAAGCAGGAATCCTCAATCCAGCCACCATTTTCGCCACCTCGGTAAGCGAGGAATCGGCGCGAAAATGCTGCGGGTGGCCATTTTCTTCTTCCGGCGGCCATTTTGGAACCGCCAGTCAGCTGTTCCAAAACATCGCAATGCGAAGATCAGTAAGTGAAACGCTTACCGATCATCGCAATGCAATGTTTACCCTATTCAGAACATCGCAATGAGATCGGTTTTTTGATAACAAAAACACGTCGCTATGCGGATTCGTCGTTAAACGGTGTGCTCGTTAAGTGAGGCACCACTGTATTCTCCATGCAGTTCACACCTAACAGGCTACTGAGCATAATCTTGCAATGAATGTGGCTATGAATCATTAAATAGTCTTAATTTCCAAGAAGCTAAGTATTCTTTCTATATGGATAAATTATTCCCACTGGATGACTATATAAATTAGATAGTGATTTTGACCAGGGTCTGTTCTATCTTTTTCTTGTTTAGGAAACCTGAAGATCAAAGAAAGCTGGACAGTATCTTTTCAGAGAAGGGGAAAGAGAAGGAACAGAAAGGTGGAATGGACTGTACAGTACATAGGTCCCTTAGGGAGCATGACGTGAGCAAAAGGTGAAATCACCAGTTATAGCTGGTTAAAGTGACTGTTATTGCAATTTTCTTAGCCAGTGTTATTACAGGGCTCCTGTACTTTCTGGTGTTGCCTACAACTGTTTTTTCTGAACACTTTTGGTTTTCATGATTGTTTTGTTAAAAAAATATCTGAAACATTACACCAAACTCATTTGTAGAGAATTAAATTACCAAATAATATTGGACCGCTCTTTTGCAGAAATTGGCCCAGTCAAAATGGGGGCGGGTATCGAAGACTTGTGTCAGTCTTCTTTTGGGTAAACAGGACAGTAGTTTGAAGGGAAGGAATATTTGTGTATTTATGTATAGGGGGAAGTATAAATCAGAACACACAATGCTTGTATTTTGTACATTTCCTTGTCTATCATGATAGTCTAATGTTGATAATTGGATTAATGAATCACTGTTACTCACGGCACAGCTTGTCAAACAGCTGTTTTGTTTCATACTTTTATATTCAGATGTTTGTAAAATAAAATAAGTGATCAACACAGTCTTATTATGTTTGTAAAATAAGCCATTATTTTCTTACTGTGCACTATAAACTGAAGGTGGAATGTACGTAGAAGTATCCAGTTCACATATAAGCAGTGGGGAGATTTTTCATGTCACCTCTTGAGTGAAGGCTGGTAATTATGAATCATAAATAGAAATATTCGTATTTGTCTCCTGGGGGAGATGAATATGAATATTGCCACCACAGGTGGCTGGGCCTTTCAACTCTACCCCTAGAACCAGCCCAGTCCAGTTACTGGGCTTTGGGTGGTGTGTGCGGCCATCATTGGAAACATTAAGCCAATTGCAGAAGTAGCTCAACCAGCGTTTCCCCATCTCCCTGCGCTGCTGTCCACTCTCGTGAGGAGGTGGGATGATGAGTCTCCCCACTCAGCTGCTGAGTGGTCAGCAGCACAAGGAGATGGGGAAATGCTGGTTGGACTACTTCTGTGATTGGTGTGAAGTTTCCGACAACAGCTATGTGCACCTTGCAAAGCCTGGTAAGTGGACTGGGCTGGTTCTGGAGGGAGAGTTGAAAGGGCCCAGCCACCTGTGGTGGATATATTCATATTCAACTCCCCTCCAGGAGACAAATATGAAGATCTCACCTCTTAGTATTTCTATTTTCAAGGTAGGACTCAGACCATAAAAAACATCACTGAGCAACATGTAGAAAAAATACTTAATCTTGACCAGTCCAACCTTGAAAATAGAAATCAGTTATGATTTTTTTGTATTCCAAACAGAGTGTGGTGCTCTATATAAATAATGTGCATAGATGCTGGTTCTGAAGGAAGATAACAGTTAGCCATCAATTACACATCCATTCTGTGTATTTTCAAAAATCATTACATAGACGGAAAAGATCACTATCAAATCAGCCTTTTAGTTACTTCTGTGGTGCTTTGTACAAAAAAGAAAGGATCCTTTAAGGAAGAGACTTTGTGAATTCTATATATGAAAAAACTTTATTTGAAAATAACATGATAGTTGAAATGCTTTTAAAAGATCTGCACTGCAAACAAAATACCTTACATCCTTTGTTTTGCATAAAAATTTAACAGCAAGAATATATAATTTCTCATGGGAACATTAGGATAATTAAGGCACTACAAACTCTTCACCTTTTCGAAAACTGGAACTGCAATGTCTAGCTCATCCAGGAAAACAGTCTCACCTTAGGTAGGCATGTGAAGCATCAGACTTTTGAGCCGCTCTGACACCATTGGTATGAATATTTGTGGAATGTGTCATTAGCTAACCACTGAAGAAACATGTGAAATGCCCATAACAAGGTTAGTGCACATCACAGATCAAGTAAAACTTACATAAGGATTAAGAGTTGATTCCCTTGACATGGGAGTACAATGACCACTACAGTCAAGTGCAAGCAATAAAAGCCAGTTTTGTAATGGGGGTCAGGAAAATAAAATGAAAGATGAAGGAATAAAAGGAGTAGAAGGGGATGGCTTGTTTCAGGGCAAGATCTAATTAGCTATGTGTACCAGTAAATCCTGCTTGTCCAGCGATGCTTTACTTGAGTGATCAGCACTGTGATCTTCACTCGCAGCTGTGACACTTTCTCTTTGAATTCTACTAGATTTCTGCTTAGAGACTGCAAAAGCAAGGCCTTCTCTATTACAGCTAAAGGTGAAAGCAAGAATTCTAGTATCTTGTTAAAGAAACAGCTTTTTAACAAAAAAAAAACCTTACTAGTAAATTTACTTTAAACAACAAGATACACTGAAATGTCTTAAAGAAAATCTATCCATAAATAATTTAAGTCTATTTTACAGGCAACAGTCTACTGAATAAATACAAAAAAGGTATCATTCCATACAAATCCACTATTTCCTTCAAAATAAGATAAATGATTAAAATATTAATTTTGCAACACAGTGAACTACATTTACGTTTTCTGGAAACCAAGCCCTTGGCAGACCTGCTGCAAACAGTCTTTTGTCTTGCACAAACAGTACAATTTACTCAAAGTCATCTTCATAATCATACTCATCTAAGTCAACATCTGCTAAATGGGAAGGCATGTCAAAGAAAGGCCTTTTTTCCATCTGATATTTTAGTACATTGGTCTTTTGGTGATCTCCAAGGTTCAGTTCAGGTTCATAACTAGGGAAAAGAAAAGAGGAGTTAACTCCAGTTGTAGATACTTCCAGAAGCATCTTGTGTGTTTAACACAATACCCCTATGGCTCGTATATTAACAATAGCCCATATTCTAGGCAGTCCCCAAAATGGCTAAAAAAAACCTTAAGATATAGGCCTGTTACTTGAATAAAGAAGCCTTTCAGACCATTCTGTGCATTCTGTCTCAGACTCGGGTCACACCACATTCAGTAAAGCTCGATCCAAGGTAACTTCAGTAAATTAAGCTGTTAAATACGCACATAAGAAATCTTTACACATGAGTTTCTAAGAACGTTAGTGAACTGCTTGAAGTTGGTTTCAGAAAAGTTGTATTTGTCAAAAAGAATTTACCTCAATTAGTAATGTCTATGTGTATATAACAAGACTTTTTGCAAACAAAAAGCAACATTCAGTAACTCAGATGATTGAAAAGGGCACTTTTAATATGACTTTGATAGTTTCTGAAAACACTTGAAAAGACCATTTCTATACAGAAAAGATTTGTTTAAATCCAAATAACACAGAGACTAATACTAACAGCTTGACCTAATGCTCAGCATTGCTGTGGCTCTCCTGCCCCGTAGTTATGTCTGTCACATAAAGAAAGTTCAGAAGTGGCTGCTCCTTGCTTTATCAGCCCTTGCTGTTAGTAGCCTTAGCAGAAACAGCAAATGTCTTGAACAGAGATGGTTCGTATTCGTATATGTATATCCCCCCCACAGGTGCAGATAACCAGGGTCTGGCCCCCTGGGGGCCTTCCTATCTCTCAGTTGCTCGCAATGGATTAGCCACTCTGCGACCTGGCAGAGAGGCTCGCCATCCTGCCTTCTGCCAGGACTGGTTAATCTATTGCGAACAGCAGAGCGATAGGAAGGCTCCGCGGAGCTTGCAGCAGTGGCGGAATCGTGAGTGGTTATCTGCACCTGTGGGGGAATATTCGTCTACGAATACCCCCATCTCTAGTCTTGAGCTATTGAGAACCCAAAGGACAACAGTCTTTCTCAGAAGGATGAAATCTTTGGAGTTGCAACTCAGACAGGCCTTTGTGCTTAAGATGAAAGAAATGAACAACTATTTCAGAGTCTGGGCTGAGTGGAAAGGATATGATGCATAGAAAACAGAAGCCAGAGCTAGTGAACAACCCTTTCAGCTGCTTTTTCAGAAGGTGTACTCTCATCTTTACAATAGCCACAGACAATATTAGTAGTAAAAGAAACAATCTAGGAAATTGTTACAGTTGGCATTCTGCTTTGCAAAAGAGAGAATACAGAAACCAAGGAAACAAATTGTTTGATTTTCCTTCATTAACTGAAAGTATCATAAAGTGATGGTAGCGCAAGCAATACTTACCAGTCATTCCATTGGTCACTGGCTGCTTCCTCTGCTACTAAGACATCATATTCTTCAGCAGCATATTTTTCCCAGTCAGACATTTCTTGGTTTTCATTTTCAGCACCCTAAGAATATATGCAACGCTTGTTAATATAGAAGAAAGCTAAATAAATGTATCATCAAATGCATTACACTTATGGGCAACATCTAAATATTAATGCCACTTACCCTCAACATGGAAAACTGATCCTTCTGTTCATGGTCTAAATATTTCTCAATGTTGAAAAATGTGTCAAAAAATACATTTGCCATCTTAGACTTCTTTAAGTCTTTAAGGGTTATTTTCCCTGAAACCAAAATTAGAAATCAGGTTTAAACATCTGATAAATTTGGGACTTTGACACAAGTACTGTGGCAAAAATAAAGATATGCAGTCTTATTATACTGATATGTACACTAGGGCCTGTCCGTCTTAGGAAATTTGATGCAGTCCAGTTCACACTTGAAAAGGGATTTTATTTTAAGTGCAATATATTTTAACTCTCTATTCAGCATCCACATTGGAGTTTGTGCTATGGATCCTTTTCTCCTGTGGTACACAGCAGGCTTTACCTGATTTACTCATGAGTAAGGAGTTAACAGCCACAGCGCCAGGAGAAAACATTGGGGGGAAAGCTGGGAAGATGCAAGGGAGGTTCCCCCCTTTCTCCTCAGCCAGGGCAGCGCTTCCTTGCGTGGAGCCCATGGAGTCAATATAGCCCCCCCTCCTTCCTTTCCTTGCAGACGTCATTCAGGGGGCCAGGGTGGATTTTCTTTGTTGTTGTTAAATAAAGCAAGTGCCATATAAATGCATCAACCTAACAAGATATTAAAATTTTGCTCCACTGGTTAGGGAAGTATTTTAAAGAGGAGATGAAAATAGAAAGGGGAGGTTCTCCACCCTCCCTTTTAATGCTGTAACCCACCTAATACATCACAGTGTTGTCGCGGCAGTTAATGCCACCCCCATTGCCATTTTGGTGTGAGCTAACATTCTGCACGGGCTAAACAGAGCTAATTAGGATCACGCAGAATTGTGCCAAAAAGAATATATGCCCTACTGCTGTCTCAGAAAAGTGTGTGACAGCTCTTAAAGGGGAAGGCTGGACTGAACTAAGTGGAAACAAGTGTCGATTCAAACTGTGCCAAATGCCATGCATATATTGATCTACAAGTGTAATCAGAATTATTCAGCCCTCATTGCAAATCAGGTTTACAATCAAAATTTAGACTTTCGGCTGTTTGCAATGAACAGATAAAACAAATGCAATTGAAATAGCTCAAAACGATGAATGCTTCAAGTCATTTCCCCAAATTCAACTGAAAATACAACTTTTAATGAATTCTGCAGTCTCAAAATTATTCAACCCCTTCATGGCAAGCTTAGTACTTAGTAGAGGACCCTTTTGCTGTTATGACCTGCTGCAAATGATATTTATGGCCAGACACCAGCTTCTGGTAGCATTCGTGAGGAATCTTAGCCTTTTCCTCATGACCAATGGCCTCCAGTTCCAGATTTTTCATATGCTCTTGGGACAATAGTAGTGTATATTTTGGAATTCTGGCATGGAAACCTTCTATATTTAGTGTGCGTCTTACTGTGCGCAAATAGAAACCTCAGTGCCTGTTGCCACCAACTCTTGCTGCAGGGCTTTTGCAGTCACTTGAGGATTTTTCTCTTTACTGCAGGGCTTTTGCAGTCACTTGAGGGTTTTTCTCAACCTGCCTGCCTTTGCAGCTATTCATAGCTTCCTTTTTCTGCCCCATCCAGGTAGTGTAATCACTGTTCCTTTAACTCTGAACTTGCAAACTATCTTCCAATGGTGTCTCTAGGAACACTCAGTGCCTTCACTATCCTTTTGTATTCTGTTCTTGGTTGTGCAGGGCGATGATCTCTTAACTTTTTGGACCATTCTTTGACTTAGCCATATTTTTAATATGCGGTCAAAACATGACACTCACCAAACCACTAGCCAATTCAGATATTTCATGTGTTCCAGCTCAAGCACACCTGGTGCAACTAATGAAGCCCTTAATTAGCTGCATCAGGTATGCTTGAGACAACAACAGTTTTGCATCTTTGTGCTGTTGTGAGGGATTCTATTCGGGGGTAGAATAATTTTGAGCCTGCAGAATTCATTAAAAGTTGCATTTTTCAATTGAATTTGGGGAAACCACTTGAAACATTCATTGTGTTGATCTATTTCAATTGCTTTTGTTTATTCATTGCAAACAGCTGAAAATCTGTAAATTTTGACAATAAATCAGATTTGCAATGGGGGGGGTGAATAATTTGGATTACAAGTATATATGCCAGTGTGGACAGGCTCTTGGATTACCGTGACACTGTAATACAGTATTGACTTATATAAATGACCTTCCTCAGTTTTTAATAATAATTATAGTCAGTGACCAAGAAGATAAGAATACACTATTTAGATAAAATCACATAATATCAGAGACACTGGTCAAGACGTGACACCATCAATGCATCATCTGGCTCTTTTTTTGACATTAAAGTTAAAAAGAAGTTCTGAGTTAGCCAGCAGCATTGAAGGATATAAAAGCTTTTAAAACCTCATAGCAGTCACATGATAGAGGATGCAATTAGGAGACACATAAACTGTCAGTTAAGATCTGTTAAGGAAAATGTGTTCAAGACTAATTTCCAGTCATTATGGATTTTCAGAAAAAAAGCAGGACATTTCAGGGGGCAAGGCTCTGAATGATTATGGTTCATTCAGATAATAAAACATTTTGCCAACTTCCACAGTGTTTTAAATAAATAAATAAAATAGACCTACAGACATAAAACAGAACTGAACAAGTAACGAAAAAGATCAGATAAAATTCTGGCCTGCTGTGCATAATGAACTTGAAAATGTAAGCAGGATGGCTTTGCAGAATGTACAAATTAACAAACACAAAAATATGTCTACTAATAAAGAAGTGCCTGTAGAGAGACTGTTAAGATGGAAAAGAACCCATTACCTTCATGCTCTGGCTTCACAAGATCAAGCATTTGGCAAAGACAGTCTTCAAATGGCAGAGGTTCAATGGCCATATTATCCAGTTTTTGACACTGTTCCTCATAAAAGTATTGCAATTCATACATAGATAATACACCATCCCCATCAAGGTCCATACAACGGAACCAATATTCTATGCTGAAAGGTATTAGTAAGCATCATCAGCATTCTATTTCAAATTCACTGCTGCATCTTTCACACCCTAAAGAAAAAGGGATGGGATTGCACCTCATGCAATATTCATACACACAAGAACTTTACAGCTGAGTACTTTTTGGTGTTGAAAAAGTTACAAGTTTTGTGCATGCACTCAGTACACTCATATATTGACTCTTCAGTCATTTACACATAGGTCTTTATGTTTCTGTATAAGGATAGGATTTTTGCAATTTTTGAACTACAACCTCCATAATTCTTCATTCCAGGACTTCTACCAGACAAACAGACAGAGACACTTCAATGGGGCTCCCCTAGGAGAAAGGCCTAAACTGAATGGTTTTGAGGACTAGCTTCCTGTTCAGAAAGAAAACTCGTAGCTAGCACTGGGGCAGGAAAAGCAAACTTGGGAAGAGCTTCATATTTAAATGAACTAGCTAATATTGCACTACTACTGAATAAACTAAAAAACTATAAACAATGTTCTAATAAGGACAACTTTGCACAGAGACGTCTAACTCATTTGGCCTCAATTATCTTGTATAAAGGCTTACACAATCCCCATTTTTACCTGGTTTGAGTTTTTTTGTCCTCTTCTGATATTAAAAACCATACAAAATCTGCGTAACTGATTTTTCCTTCTTTCTGTGCTTTTTTGCCCCTTTTGAAATGCAGATGGAAAGAGAAATACATGTAAAATGTATGCAAACAGTATTTTAATAAATATTCTGAAATGTACTATGCTATACAGCTGCTACCTTTTGAAAATAAGTTTTTTCTGTAACATTTATCCTGCATTAACCCTCTAGCACAGTATCCCCAACCTTTTCTGAATCATGAACTGGTTGGAGGGGTGGGTCTGTGCACAGGGGGGGAACCCGTGCTCACGGGTGGGTGTGGCACACTCATGCGCATGCACGGGTGGGTGTGGTGCACTCGTGGATGAGCTCACGCGCATCTGTGGGTGGACAAGGCACCTGTGCATGTGGGTGGGTGGGTCATGCATGCATGTGGGTGTGCGTGGGGGGAGTGTGTGCAGGGGGGGCAGGAGATCTGTCTCCGCAGCCCAATCCTGTAAAGGCCACAGAATGGCAACGGGATGTGGACTGGGGGTTGGGGACCCCGGCTCTAACATATGAAGTTGAATATTGCGGTTATCTCAATTCATCTTCACAATCATTCTGTGAGAAATGTTGTCTAAGACAGCATAACTCACCTGAAGTCATTTATATCTGATAGATGTTTCTTGACTTCCTACAGCTAATCAGAAATATAATCCCCCTTTTACAGAAAATTATTTTTGTACTGATTTTCTGTTTGAAAATGGCCTTGGTGGGGAAGATCTGGGGGATAGGTACAAGGCAACAGTTACTCTAGTGTAGTCCATAAGAAATAACTATGATACATAGCTAGAATTCAAAGCCCAGTACTGAAGACTGCCGGCCCATTGCCAATGGTGCCTGAAAGACCTCTGGGCTACTGGACTATTCGTGTGATTTTTCCTTCCCAGTGTTGCAAATCTGGAGTATTTCTACATCTATAAAATTCCAGTGATGATTTCCTCAGTTATAATTATCTGGCAATTGTATATTACATTATGAACTGATTGCATGAAAAGAGCTACACAACCACTTTAGGGCAGTAAAGTGAAGTACTTAAACTCACAGTTTGGCTCAGTGGTTTAGATACCTAGCTGTAAGTTTGATTCCCCACTGTGCCTCCCAGGAGACGAGCCAGCCTGTGTGGCCTTGGGCCAGCTGCACAGTCCCAAAAGAAGGGAATGGGAAACCACCTCTGAGTATTCTCTACCTTGAAAACTCTGAAAAATTAGAATTGACTTGATGGCATGTGATTAAGATTAAGCAGACCTTAGCTTGCAACTTAGTACTCATCTCCGATTGAGGCAATTAACTTGTGGCAGCAGCTTTCTTTATATGCAGACTATATTTTAATACATGAACAGGAAGTTATTAACAGTTCCACTTTCATTTGAATTTGGCTGTTCCATGTAGTCTGCTAATTAATCTTTAAAGCATGATGGATACATGTATAGTTAAGGGAGGAAAAGACACCTTGTCACAGCTCCTGAGAATATCCTCTCTATCATCCGATTAGATATAGCTGTGGAAGAACAAAATGGTTATATTCAATTTAGTATGTTTGCGCTGATTCATACCACTTTTTAAACTGTGTAAACAGTTATATCAAAATCAGAAGTACTTCATTATATGTTTATTCCCTGTAAAATGTTATAAAGGCATATTTACACTGCTACTAAAATATCTACAGCTGAATACATATCCTTGCTTTCCCTGGCCAACAGCCAGCTTGAATTAAAGTAACAGGTTTATTCTGGAATATATTCAGACTTTACTGAAATTCCCCCTTCATTCGACCAGTGAAGTCCTAGAGCTAGGAAACAAGCAATAGCACACCCAAATCAAACAAAACTATTCCATTTGTCATACCATGGTCATTATGCCGAGCTAAATCCTTTGGATCAATGTAAAGATCATGATCTGTATCCAACTCCCAAAATTTGCAGTAAATCACATAAAAATGTTCATAAGAGAAGTATTCTGTCAGCTGGTTTATATCTACCTCCTCCTCCAATAATGCTACATTCTAGAAAGAGAAACAGAAACAGAAAGTGAGAGGAACCTTAAGAGACTGTGATTTTACCCATCACAGCAACAGCTAGTAGGACGAATTTAGTCTTTTTACCCATACAGTTGATTTATTAGAGCCCCCCAAGTCTTTCAGATGTATTCAACTACAACTCTCATCAATCCTGACCACAGGGTGAGGATACTGACAGCACACCTCCAAAATATCTTGAGAGTATCAGGCTGGGAAAGGGTAGTCTATACTATCTATGCCAACACCTTCTGAAAACATGTGTAGATGCCAAGAATCTCTCTTGGCAATCTGTCAAACTGGGGCTCTTTTCAAAGCAGCACATGTTCCGGGAAGTATGACCAAAGTCAACAATAATGGATGGAAGATAAATAAAAATAAGATTTTACTTTTTATTTCATAAATTATTGTAAATTTATGAAAATTTAATTCCTTCATGCCAATACATGAAGGAATGCATTATTAATTAATTTCCATATTTATGTAAGTGTTTATTCATGTTTCCTTTAATGAAGCAGCAGCAACAGCAACACCAGAGGAATTCAGCTCTGGTTCTCTGATGGTTCATGGTTCTCCAGATTTAAGCATCTTAAACCACAATTAACACTCAAATTCTTAAATAACAAAAGGCTAAGTAAAAAAAAAACACCTCTCAAACAACAATCAAGATTTAATGAAGAGGAATATGGGGGAGTTCAAAGCTTCCTCCTCATATGCTCATGATCAAAAAGACTGCAGTTAGACTTACTGAGCTTCCCCTTTATTGGTTTGTTGCTGAATTTTAGCAGTAAACTGTAGCCCTCAAAAAACAACACTCTTGTGGGGAGCACTAACTTATGGCAGCCTTATGAACACATGACCTCCAAAATCTCCTGACCTCAACAATCCTGCTCAACGGTTGTACATTCAAAGCTGTGGTTGCTTTATGGAGTCCATTTCGCATCTGGTCTTCCTCTTTTCTGCTTTCAACTATTCCTAGCATTACTGTCTTGCCTTTTCACGTTATGGCCAAAGTATAAAAATCTCAATGTTCTCATCTCTAGAGAGGTAATAGGGGTCTGCCAAAGGGGGGGGGCCTTGAGGCTGCACTTCACCCACCTTTTACTGTGTCTTCCTCCCAAATGTGCAGAAACAGACTAGGACTGCAAATGTGATAATCTGAAACTCACTTTGTTCATTCAGCGTAATCTAAATTATGATTCAGGTGACTATCTGTCCATGTAAAACCAGCAGTGTAAGATACAGTGGTGCCTCGCATTGCGACATTAATTCATTCCACAAAAATCGCTGCAGAACGAAAACGTCACTATGCGATATTAAAAAGGCCTTAGAAACGCACTGAAACCCCTTCAATGCGTTTTCTACGGGGTTAAAACTCAGCATTCAGCGAAGATCCTCCATAGTGTGGCCATTTTCGCTGCCTCTTAAGCGAGGAATCCATCCTTAAACACAGTGGGCAGCCATTTTGTTTACCTGGTGGCCATTTTGAAACTGCTGGTCAGCTGTTTTAAAATCGTCGCTTTGCAATGCTCGGTTCCTGAAGCAGGGAACCGAGCATCGCAAAGGGAAATTCCCCCATAGGGAACATCGCAAAGCGATCGTTTTTGCGATTGCAAAAAATGCGTCGCAAAGCGATTTCATCGCTAAACGGAGCGATCGCTATGTGAGACACCACTGCAGTTAGCATTACCCAAACTGTTAAAATATATTACAAACAGCAGCTGCGGATTTTCAAACAGCCACTTTAAAACCAAGCTAAAATACTATCAAGTCCCAAATGTTAACTGTACACAAATACATAAATACATATTCAAGTGGTAACAGACTAAAGGTGGGAAAATCTTCCAAAATAGTCCCATGATTTTAATATCATCTCTTTTAAAAAATAATGTACATGGTTTATGGTGCTATTCAACAGAAATTGCACACTTACAATACCTGTAAAAAGTTGCTTTTTCTGAGTTCATTACAAGTGATCCTTCCTGACCATGACCTATTTACTGTGTAAAATATCCTCTGTATTACCTGCAGCATGAAAAACAAAACATAAATTAATGGTCTGAATACTTATATTTAACCAAATAGCTTGCCATCATCTAGGTTAACTTCTGGTTAAAACTGCATTTACAGCGACACACGTTCGGAGAATTAACTTTTCAGTAGCCTGTGTAGCATTTCCCAATTTATGACTTACTGTATTTTCCTCTTCTCTAACTTAGAAAATTACTGACCTCTTCTCCACAATTTCTGCCAACTCTGAATTGGTATGAAAAAATTATGTTATGTAGAAAAGCCTGCATGAACTGACCCATCATGCAGCAAGGCAATTTTTTTTTTAAAAAAAGGAGGGAGTATACTGACCATATACTATGCCTGGAAGATTTTTCTTTACATGGCTTTAACTATGAATGTTCTGAGCAGTTTGAAACACAGCCTACGCTAAGTGTGTTTTTGTATTCTAATTAGCTAATTGTAGAATTTATGCTCTAACATTATGGATTTTCATGGAGGAGGGCAACATTCTGTTCACTATGAGCAGTTTTGCTTGGTGAGATTGTCTCACAGCCTTAACTAATTTGACATTAATCAAAACACCTTGCAAAAGATGCCTAAACACAATGTAGTTTGGACACTGGATGTGCTCACTCCTAAGCCTAAATGCACCTAAGACAGAGATTTAGAAGTTCAAAATGAATGATCCCCCAACAGCAAAACAGTTGCACATGTTTGAATTAGAGAACCTTTAGTGTCTAAGACTTTCATCAGTTCCCTCCAGATATTCTGGACTTTAACCGCCTTGATCACTTGACCACTGGCTGTGTTTACTTGGAGTGATAGAAACTGTTTTCTCAAATAGTTATGGGCTACCAGGTTGGGGAAGACTGTTCTATACTTACAAGTGTCACAACTGCCAGATGAATTATTTAACATATGTAACAGTATTTACTTATTTACTAAATTTATATAGTTGCATCCTAATACAGACTCTCTAAATTTTATATACTAAAGTACAATTAACCCATAGTTCATAAAGGTAGAGACCCAAACAATAAGGCCGAGGTGAACAGAAAATGTTTTCACCGGGGGGGGGGAGCAGGTTTTTGAGAAAAGGACGCACATCATCAGGTGCCACTATCATAAGTCTCCCCTCCTTAGCAGCCTCCTCATTTAGTGAGACCATCTAAGAGCAAGGTCTCTGAAGAAGAATCTGAAGGGGCAGATAGATACACAGAAGAAAAGGTGGTATTTCAGCTCACCTAATTCTGAACCATTTTGAGTTTTAATGAACAAAATCAGCACTTTAGGATTAGTCACCAGTGCCGCTGGCTAAGTACAAGCACAATATGATAAAGGTGCATAGTCCCAGTTAAGAAGCATGTTTAAAGGCAGTCCCACATGTTTTTAAAATTTTATTTAGTCTCATTTATAAGACATTGCAGTAGTCAAACTAAGAGGCTACTACAGTGGTTCTTAACCTTTATGAAAGAAACGCCCCCTTGAGCCATTGAGGAAGTTATCATCGCCCCCCTCCTCACCATGATT